GGTGATGGAGAGATGAGACTGGCAGGTGACAAAACTTGTATTATTTCTCTAAAAATAGCGCTTAAAAGATCGTTTTTAGGAACACCCTTATCTCTAATAATAACTACTAATTTATCCGATATTAATGATTCCTTTTGCATCTGACAACCCTATTGTTGAGAAAAGTTTAAAATGTATAAGACGCCTAGGAGAAAACCACAGAAAAGGAAAGTGGTAGTTTCAAATGAATTCGACGAATAATTAAGAAATTATTACGATAAGGTTTAATACCGCAATCATTACACGAGACGTGTATATTTTATCTACGATCCTAGATACGATAAAATAACAACATTAAATGCAATTACATAAAAGTAAAATTTGACATGTGACACGCGCGGCAAAATACACAAATGCTCTATGGTTTCCTATTTCAGTATGCGATACAGCCTTGTTTATTTGAAATTGGAACTACATTATTATTTATTGGATTATTTAACACGCAACTATTTTGGTTTTTTTCGTGATTTAAGTCAATAAAGTCGACGCCGTCGAGGTCGACCACGGCGAAGGTGGTGTGACGATCTGATCATGTACGCGGGGCAAACTTGGCCGGAGATCGCTCTAGACAGAGAAATTTGGAAGGAAAAAGGGGAGGCCTTTGCCCAGCAGTGGGACACACGATAGGCTATAAAAAAAAAAAAAAAAAAAAAGTCAATAAAAAGTTATTACTTACATTTTTATCTAATCCTGAAATTAAAAGAAAATCGGGAAAATTACAATTTTCAAAGGATTTTGATAAGTCCCGTAGTTATTTATAAATAATTTATTTTTACTTATTTATCTTCTACTGATAAGTAGAAATAACTTTCATTGTTCACCGTTCATTTTATTTTTACATTTCAGACAGATAATATATAAACGAAATTAGAAGTAAAGTTTTATAATAAGTGCAATGTCATACTTATTTTTTTTTACTTTTTCTGTGGATACTAATATTTTCAAATCGGCATGAAAACAATGATCGCCTAAATAATAACCAAGAAGGTAACTCTTGACCATTGACACGATATATTCCATCCACTTATCAGGCAGTAGGCACAGACAACCTCATAATTATTTCACAGCCATTTTGAAAGGGAAACGAACTGAAAGGTTAATTAGTCATACTTGACAACAATATTGTTTCCAATTTTATTAGGGACATGCCTATTTGAATAGAAAAAAAAAACTTCCTCGTTTCATTCAGGTCGATATTAGTTGTTTTAATGTGGTTAGGGGCAGAATATAAAGTTTGACCACCTCTTCTCTTCCTACAGTCATTTGTTAATGGATTTTTTGGTGGGGAAAATCATCAAATGACTTCTGTCGCCCAAGAAGAGAAAAGAAACTCCTACTGACTAGAATCCTGTTGTTTCCGCTGCTCTAGGCCAAGACCGCGGTACCTTATTACGCTTGCCCCTAGTCGACAAACGTGTGTACGGTGTACGGATCACCTCTTGGTAAACAATCGACGCCGCCTATCGCCATTCGCAACACCAAGTAGGTTCTAGTGCGTTCAAGTTAAGGGTTTTGAGGACTGGAAGAGGAAACTTCAGTCAAACAGCGAAACACAAGACATCTGTTGTTTAGCACCAGTTTTCTGTGAGGCCGTGGCTTCACTGTGGTCGAGCAAGCCCATCCGTTCCGAAAGATAGCTCTTCCACACTCTTAAATAGTCGTAGTAGTGAATATATCGTATGGCTAGTTAAATTATCACCAGCGTCATTATCAACAGTTGGAAAATGTCCAGGTACACAGCAGATTAGTTAGGTCCTTTCTTTTCAAAGTTTGCCATATATCGAAATAGCCACAATACCACAAATGGTGCACGCCATTTTATGACATTTGTATCCAAGTGCAATAAATTGCTTTTACCTACATTCAGTACACCTGTCTCGCTCCGTTTACCAAAAACAGAGAAATTGTGTTTTCAGCTGTACCTACTAGAAAATTTTCTAGTGAATGCACCATCACGTACTGTCGCGGTGGTCCGAAGGTTAAGGTGCCCGCTTCTCATGGATGATGGTGTGGGTTCGAAACATAGCAAGAACCATTGAGACTTTTTCCAAGTTATACGTACTTTCTATGGTTATTTAGACACCACTTACATACGGTGAAGAAAAAGATCGTTAAGGGAACCTGAACTTATAACATAGAGCTTAATGCTCCATGAGCATGCATGGTGATTAATGCTCAAACCTTCTCCGTATGAGAAGAGGCCTTTGCTCAGCAATGGTCACTTATAGACTGATGATGATGATGTGTGCACCATCACGTGGTCAATTTTGCCATTCTATGCGTTAAGGAAGAATTTCTTGAGAAAATAAATGTTATGGCGTGCACAAAATTATATTTTCTATTGATTTTCTGACGACTTTAAACATTCTTGATCTGTTCTAAACGATAAGAAGACTGTGGAAGTAGGTATTATTCGATAAAGACTTGTATTTTATCAACTTTCAAATTGGAACTGGTCAAAAATTGCTTAATGGACTAATTGATACAAATTTAGTTTTGATTAAAGTCTGCCTAGTTGAAATTGCAATTATGGTTGATGAGAATGAAAACGAGAATGGAATCGAACGTCTTCTAAAGTAGGGAAGTAGTATTGTTAGTTATCTTAATTACTATTATAAATATGTACCATTTGCAAGTTCGTATGTAGGGGGTAATCTTTAGAACCGCTGGTCGGATTGCCAAAATTATTTCACTGATAGATAGCTACAAAGTTCCTGAATGCTACAGGCTATAGATTATTATATTTTATTTGCGTATTTTAGTCGGGTTATCGCTTTAAACGCTGCTGTTTTAAAAATCCCGGAATACGTTACTTTCTTACGCGTGCGCAGCCGCGGGCGAATTTAAAATTAATACACTATGCAGAGCTTGGCCATTATAATTTTCATAAATAAGTACTAAGGTGCATCGCGTATTTAGCAAAAAGTTTATACGTATAACCTACTCTTTACATGTTTTTTGTGAAAGGTAAATCGTCAAATGATTTCTACTAGCCATGGTGAGGCGAGAGGGAGTGTCACACTCTTACTGGCTAAAATTCCCTCTATTCCTTCTCCTGCTCTAGGCCGAGGCCGCGGTGCCTTATTGCGCTTACCACGCAACCACGGCACAGATTCCATGCTGAAGTCAAACTACGAATGTCTTTGATGAATAAAACTAAACCTTGACCAATTTTTTTAATAATTTTATGATTTCATTTACCTTTGAGGTAAACGATGTGTGTAACAAAACAACTTTTAAATGAATAAATATTTATCCCATGACGAGTATGAGCATGTAAAATTAGTATTCGGGTTTTTCCTCAGACATTATTCTGACGATACTAAGAATTATTTAGCTAGCTAAATAGGTACTCAATGGTAAACAATAAACAAGCATAATATGATTAATAAATTGTTCCAATTTGCCTTTTATTTTATCGAATATGTATCATTAATTTTGTTTTTCAAATCATAACAGAAACCTTCCTGCGGGAATCGCGTTTAAATACTTCTAGACTACTAACCAAAAGCAACAGCGCCGGTCTCGAATAAACCTAAACCTTTCAAACTGCTGCCAATTGTTGAGAATGTGCAGCGGTTGACTTTAAAGAGCTGTTGCACTAATAAAAAATTACGAATATTTGTCTGCCAAATTTTATACAGGTAAGTTTACCGATTTTGGGGTATGATTGAGCCGCAACACAAGGCATCAAAAACAAAGGTACACAGCTCTTCTGACACATCGACTGAAGACTTTGAAGAATTGTACAATTGTAGAAGGCAACTGTATGATGTTAGCATGGCTCTTGGGAGAGGGTTACGGTCTATCGGAAAATCTGAACTTTCATATGTTACTTATATTATAAACGCAAAAGTTTGAGAATACAAAGGGATATTTGTTACTCTTTGAAGCCAGGCAGAAGCCTAGTAATTAAATAAAACATTTACAATACACAATTATTTATCAACGAATGATTATTCGATACGTATCTACTACTTATCTACAGGTAAAAGATTGGCGCCAAAAAACAAACATGGCCGCTGCATTCATCCCGATATCAAAGAGATAAGACAAAAATAAGTTTTTATTTATTTACGAATTATAACATCCTTCCTAAACGTCATACGGAAAGTGTGAATCATTTATGTGTACATACATTCATGTTATCATTTATTATCACTGGTGCCGATAGCGTATAATAAGATAAAACTATGTATTTGGAAACATGTGAATGTATTTTTTTCCTTACCATCTTGGTTCACGGGCCTTATTAGCGAAATTATAGTGTTTGAACGGTATAGTATACCCATTGTTTATTTATTTTTTACTTGAACGTACATGGTATATAAAGGAACAGAAGGAGGACTGAATGCCATATGGCATTTTCTTCCAGTCAACCTTACCTGTACGTCGACTGTAACCGATGGTCTTAGTTTTTTTTTATCACTTTTTATCCACTGAGGGCAACACATTTTTTTATTTACCTAGGTTTAATTATGTAGCTGTTCATTTTATGCAATGACTAAATAATTGTGATTGGTTGTAGGTAGAGAGACATTTGGCAAACTTAATGGCTTATTGCACTGAACGGAAACTGGATACCGAACGAAAGGACATGTCGTAAGCCGAATTGATGTCTCTGGACAGTCATTAAGCCTATATGACAGACTACTTATTGATTATTGATGGCTTTACGAAACTTTTTCAAGGTTGCATACAAACAGGTTTTTTATGAACAAGTGTGTTTTTTTCTAAGGTGAGCGTACTTTTCTTATAAGAACCTTCTAAGACTATTTAGTTTCACAACAGAAACCTACAGTATCTATTATTATATTTAGAAAAAAAAGTCAATTTCTTTTTTTCGTCAATATTTTCGACAATTTCAGAATTTGTCCCGACAAATCTTATTTTACCTAATAACATTGAATTTTAGTTTTCGTCATCTTATATTCTAATAAGGTATTATAAAAGTAACTTACGTTTTATCGGCAGTTGTCGTGGGCTCAAAGGAGGCCTATCATCCGTAACAACATCCTCCTTAGTCAAACTGTTTGTGTTGTACTTCTTGACACTCTCAGCCCAGTCCTGGATCCAGGTCTTATCTCCCTTACATCTGTTCAGGCTCAAATAGGACAGCTTCCCTACCACCTGATCCGGAGTCATGTCCGAGGACATTCCACTCATCCCACACTCTTCCCTCAAAGCTTTTTGAGCATTTTTCAATGCAGTACTCTCGAATTTAGGTTCATCCAATACCATTTTAGTGCTAGGTAAAGACACTGGTACGGAAGACTCCCGAGACAGCCGATGCACATAATCAGTCTGGTCTATCTCTGACTTCGTTAGGCTACATCTACGTAACACAGGCTCTATCTTAGGAGGAATGCGAGAACTCAACACTCCTGATGTTGTGACCGAAGTAAAGCTACCAATATCAGCATCATCATGCTTGGGTGGAGACTTCGGAAATGTTTTTTCAGTTATTGTTCTAACCCTATTCTTTATCTTTTCTAAGTAACTCCTTGTAGATTTAATCTGTTTCGATGTTTGAGCTGCCAAATCATTATCAGTAGGGGATTCATAGCAGCATGAGATCTCTAATACATTTTTGTCTTTAGAGAGATTGGGAATTTCAAATGACTGATTTAGTAATGGACTACGGAGGGCAATGTCTCTCCTAGGCTCTTTAGTAATCACTCTTTGAGGGTTTGGGAAGTCGAAAACTAGTTCTGGATCTGTCTCACTGCTTTTCTTTGGTTCATCAACTGCCTGGGGTATTGAGATACCAAAGGTCCTGTCAATGCTCATCCTAGCTTTCTGTTCCTCTGTATAATTATCTCCCTCAATAGTATAAGTGCCTGTTGAAGAGTTATCAGACTGTCCATCCACATCATCATCAATGTACAATGGTTCTTTGGCAATGCATTTTTTGAACAAGTCTGGAGTTTCTGAAGATGCTCTGCTTTTGCGTATAAGAGGACTCTTGGAGTGCTCCGGAGTGGATAATCCATTGTCTGGTGTTAAGATATCTAGTTCAGGACTTGAAATATCAGTCAACATCAGTCCCTCAGGGCTCTGGTCTATGATATCACCCATAACATGCCTATTGATGTTGCCGTAGCTTGGTGTTCTGTGTACCTGATCTCTTGTGTAAGAGTTCCCTTTTAAGGGCAAGTTCAGACCCTGGCGGGAAGTAAAGTTATCACTCCTAGACATAATACTATCAACTATAGGACTTTTGGACGTGCGTTTTGGCAGGACAGAGTCAGTAATGGGAGATTTAATATGTCTATTTGTATTAGGACTTGTTATGTGCGTAACATTTTGTGCTAATGGGCTGTTCCGGAGCTTCACAGATCCAGATAGGCCACTATCCTCTTGGTCTGAGGAGAAATAACCTTCAGAGTTGTAACCTTGGGCTTTGCGGGGGAGTTTAGCGCTCATGGGAGGACGCTGTAGGGCTGGACTGGGCCTATTGAGACTTGCCGACATCGACTGAACTCTCTGATGGCGAGCCTGCGATTTTTTCGCCAGCTCCTCAAGCTTCCGTGTATCAACAGGCTTTGTCTCACCGAAGTCGATGGTAAAGGCCATCGGATGTGGTTTTGGAGTGCTCGGCTCGGATTTCTCATCTTGACAAGGCTCCTCGTCGATCTTCAAGCTGTCTGACGATGATTTGGAGATTGTCGCGTCCTGCCCGTCCGACAGGGGGCTCGACACGTCCCCCTCAACACTAACACTCATGTTTTCAAGGTATCACGCAGAATAAAAGTGACATCATATTCACAATTCGACCTAAGTACAGCCTTCACACATCACTTTAGAAACCAAACATCAAGGTAATCACACCACACAGCATTGAATTTTGAAATGATAAAAGATTACTTTCGAAAAGTGGAACGAGAGCGCAAAAACTAAAAAAGTATGAGCTCCACCTACAACGTTCGCGAGCACATAATACGAACTATGAACGCGAAAGGCTCCGAATTTCTCACAAATAATGTCAGACGTGACAGGTGCTAGTGACGTCCGACACGACACTGCGATTGGTAATTGATTGTTTTATTGATTTGGCAACACAAAGACATTGTGCAAGATCACTGACCTTATTTGGCCAAGCTTTACCAACGTGTTGCAAAATAGGAAAAACTATATTAATTTCAATAATTCACAAAAGTACATATTATAATTTTGATGTAAATATCTCTTTTCTTTTAGTGAAAAAAATAATCAAAACTCTCATACTTCATTGTAACTTTTATTTTTTAAGAGAAAGTCATCATTGTTGAACGCAGCTTTTTATTTTTTCGAGAGAACAACATTGAAAATGGAATGTCAAATTCTTTGAAATTCCGTTACGTTATACGCTATAAACATCATTTGCAGTCATTGATTCGTTTAATTGTTTTACTATGTTTTGCCTAACTATTTATTAAAATTAGGCGTATTTAATATTACTAAAGAATAGCACGCATTTTAAAAATGTTGAACCACATCTAACAATTTAAAATGACTTCAGAAGAAACTATTGAAATCGTCACGTGGGAACAATAAAATCTGCTGTCAGCTCCGAAACTGAACGTCTGTCAGCTGTCAGTGAGAGATGAACCATGGCAGAGGCGGCGTTTTCCGTAGATGGAAAATATTATTCTGCCATCACACAGGATGGTAGACTGAGGATATGGGACACAGAAACTAATGTATTAAAACAAGAGTACACACCAGACTTACATTTAACTTCGCCGCCTTCTTGTTTGCAATGGATATCAGCAACTCAGTCAGCGGTACGTACCAACACGTGGTTTTTATATATTACTGCATATACATACTTTTCCCGCGGCGTTCACTGCGCTTCTAACCTCTATCTAAATCATACTTTACTATGTTATTCGTATTACGAATGGAACTTAATAAGTTTATGTAACATAATAATTGTTTTCAATTATCAACTACTAAAATAGTTAAATTTCATGAGTTTGTTTGGTTTTGTTTACTATGTCATCCCCGGGATACCAAACTCTTTGATTTGAAACTCAAAAATGATTTTGAAATGCTCACAAATATTAAACAACCTTAAAACTAAATATAACCTCAATTCGTTCACAATCATGTTTTTATGTTGTGGTAGCCTTGACAACTCAATCTTTTTAAATGTTTGAGGTTGCCCAAATATTGCGCAGTATACAGATGTAGTTAGAGATTAATTTAATATTACTATTGATATTAAATTACATGTTGTAATGTTCCCAAATAGTAATACTGTTGTTTGTTTATTTTTCGGTGTATTCTCCTGAACTGCAGAACTGATTTCGATATCCCTTTTATCCATTAATATTTAGGGCACTAGTTTTATTTTTAAGAAAGGAGTTAACATCATTAGCACTTTTAATAATTAAAATTAAAATTTTTCAGAATACACCAAAAGGTGGCAGACGCAAAAGTGTATCAGAGGAAACGCACCACATAGCTCTCGGTACAACCAGCGGAAAGATTTTAATATATTCAGTGGCACAGGCAAAAGTTGAAACAGTTTTATCAAACGAAAACTCACACAGTGGGATAACTTCGTTAGATTGGCACGCAAAATATGGACTGTACAGTTGTAGTAAGGAGAATAGTTTGTGCGAGTGGGACTTGCAAAGTTCGTTAATTAGATATAAGTATAATGTTAGCATTGAGAGTAAGAGTAAACATGGAAATATACGAGCTATCAAAATTGTTCCGCATAAGCAGGTGAGTTTATCAATTTTAAATAATTCAATACAGTCATTACATACATGTTTTCATATTTCTTAAAGATGTTTATGATCTTTGACTTATAAATAAACACTAAACAAAAATTATATTACATAATAATGGAAACTATTCAAGACGAAATAAAGAGACACACAATCTTTAATTTATTTTTCATTATATTATTATCTTAAAATTTTTACAAAATTACAAAAGTAGGATGCAGCCCAATATGTTATGGCATCATTACAAATTAATACATTTGAACAAGGTTCTAAAAGCTTCTTTATTATGTTTCAATAATTTTTTCATGGCTAGCTGTATAAAATGTAGCTCTTGTTTGTTTCTCTCTCTTTTAACCTAAGTAAAGAGTTTCTTTTTGAAAGTATTACTAGTCACCCTATATCTCATCTCTTCATCACCCAACATTGGTAGAAAATTTAAAACCAATTTATCTAAAAAAAAAAATTCAATAAACCAAGCCATTTAAAAGGGATAGGCATTTATTTGAACAAAATATCGTGTTGGTAATTTTTTTACAGCTTTACTATTTGACATAAGAACTCTTACTCACATTGTAGTACATGAATCTACAGTAAACATTTTTTTTTTTTCAATCTTTACACCCAACTTAAACGGCGCGTAGGCCCTTAAATCTGCCCATTGACCATAAAATTTTAGAATAAATAAATAATAATTCTTTCATTCATCAGAACACAGCAGCCAGATACCTGGTGGCAGCTTCGTACCAAGTCATGTTGTGGAGGCTCCACGATGGAGAGGCCACCATCATTAAGAATTTAGGGCATAATGCTGCACCTACAGCCTTGCTTTCGATAGCCACCTTGAACGATGTCTGCTGGCTTATTGAGGGTTCACAGTAAGTATATTTGAATACTTCAAAAACTATAATCATCATAGGACAAAAATTTAAATTGCTTTTACAAAACATTAATACATGTCAATTCCCAAATCTTACTTCTAAAAATTTGATAGTAGCATATACTTATTCAAGCCTTAATTTTTGGATAAATTCAATTACAGAAAACAGTTTATTTTATATCTTTCAATCTGTCCAATGAACTATTAGCAGATTGCTTGTGAGAATTGGTAGATATTAAGGTTCATTCTTCCATTGAAGGATCTGCATTCTCAATGCTTGTTTATCTACCTACTTTGCTTAGCAAATGTGGTAGAGCTTTAGCCTTTTTGTTGTTGCTGGTTCACTTGGAGCCGTTGCTCATGTGAGTGTGTGTGAGCTGGCAGAAAACAGAATGACTATAATAGTTTCAAAAATTTTAATTAATTAACAAAGTGTAATGAAAAAAAATTTTCTGTCCAAGTATGACAAAGACTACATTTAGATGTAATACATGTGTTTATATTTGAAAAATAAAGTTTTCATCATCAGCCTTTAAGTGCCTAACGCAGAGCAAAGGCCTCTTCTCACACATAGAAGCCTTGAGCATTAACCATCAAACTTGCTCAAAGCAATTTCAAACTTTAGTTAAGAATTTTAAGTCCACATGTGAGCGTTCACATATGACCTCTACCATTTGACTCAACTCTTAAATATCTTAACAGGAATGAACGCCTCCTCTCATTCTGGGATGTAACAATAACAGATGAACATGTACCACAAATGAACGGAGATGAGACCCCACACAAGAAGCAGAGAAGGAAATCTATCTCCAAGGCCCCTACCACCACTGCTACCCCCACCTACAACTTTGTGCTTGAAGATGCTCCGAGACTGGTGGACGTGGAACTTAAAAATGAGGATGGTGCTACCAAATTGAGTTTAGCTGCAGCGACTCGGAGTGGAGTTGTACATTATTACGGGCTTATGTTGAATGGGTGAGTTCTTTAATTTTGCTTTAAGAGATTATAAGTTAGTATTGTTTAATCCAGTTTTCCCACAAGCAATTTCAGCTTGATAAAATTAAATACTAGACTCAAGACTTTATTTCTACAAATAAAGTCTATAAAATAGTATTTTTAGTAAAAATTAATAAATAAGACTTAAAATTGGCTCTACAGGTTAAAACATAGCTGGTCTAAATTTTGTATTTTGAGTGGTTGGTCCATTTTAAGCTGGCCTAATAGAGCGCCCTACGTCTCACATCGATCGGCCTAAAATAAAATAAATTTCCCACTGGCCACACAATTTATTGCAAATAGCAGTTTTTCTGCACCACATTTGTATTAAAATTTAATTAAATTAATTATGAGATTTAACATTTCAATGTGTTGGTGTTAAATTATGAAGTGTCTTATGCACATACGACTGCTCCCCACGTGTCAAATGCTATAAAAATACAAACACGAGTCATGTTTTCTATCCTAAGTCGAAATGAAAAAAAGTCATTCCAATTAATTCTTGATCACTATCGAGTTTCGAAATCGAAGCGTACGGCATGCGCTCGGTACTTACCAAATACACTATCACAGATGGGACCCAATAAAATCATTTACCTGGAGCAGGCGAAGGAACAGGGTGGTTTTAAGTCCATAAGAACCCAACACCCTCTCTTGTAGTGAAGCCATTTGATTATTTTCCCATATCCCAACCAACCTAATATTTTAAGTAACATAGTTAGCACCTTTGCTTGCATGAACTTTTATTAATAAAAATCTTTTTACAATCTCCAGGTCATCAACGAAACCCATAAAGCCGTCAGTGACGATACAGGTGACGAGCGCGGACGCCCGCCCCTTGCCCCTACAGTGCTGCAGACTGCCCCCCACTGGGGAGCTCCTGCTTGGCTACTGGAATGGACCGGTCATGACCTTTGAGAGAGTGGTATGTATCAGCTTCATCTTTTCTTTTATAATTTTACATATTTTTTTTTATAAAATGCTGTAAATGAACTAAGAAAATTTCTAAAAGTTTCAAAGAATAATCATCCTATTGAGTACAATTTAGGCTTGTGCAGTTTCTGGAAGATTTATTCAAAGGTTCATTCAAAATTTTAATCGATTCTCCTTTTAGCCTGGTTGTTTCAAGAAACTTATTAATGTAGTCAAAGTACTTTTTCTGCTAAATTTTTCTATAACAATCAATGATTTAAGACATTACACAAAGTATAACATATTCCTTATATTACGTAAATAGCTAATTTTGGCAATCACCAGGTGGCGTTACTCTCGTTTATAATCCTAACTCAATTCACTTCCAATACAAAAATGTATAACCATGTTCCATAAACATTAAAAAACAATGTACTGTCATAGTATTATTAAATTTATTTCTAATTATTAATATATTTTATTTCAGAAACCAGATTTAAAAACAAAAACTCAGATATTGATTCGCGGTGAGAAAGAACCGAAAAAGAAAGGGAAGCAAGATGCGAAGAAAGTTCGAGAGAATGATACGTCACAGGTCACTTACGTTGAGCCGTTGGGGGGCGTCGCAAGGAAACGAGCCACGCCCGGAGATAAGGTCAGTGAAAGTATCAATATTTATTTAATTTTCTCCTTTTTTCATGATGAGATTAAATTACTAGCTAACCCCGAGTTGTACTGCCATCTTAATTATTTCCACAAAATGTTAAGGGGATCTTATCACTTAGGAGTATGAAAAGTAGCCAGTAACCGATCTTCAGACATATCTACTGAACATGTCATTGATATAAAATTTGGTTAAAATCAGTAAAGCCGTTTCGGAGGCTAACATTGTGATACGACAATTTTATATGCATACTAGCGACCACGGCCAGCGGGCGCCCGTGTGAATGTCGATTTTACACATTTTCAAGATTTTTTAAAATTTTCTCTACATATAAACCTTCTCTGGACTTCCAAGAAGTTTTGTAGTTCATTCAAAATTAACCAAATCGGTAAAGGAATTGTTGAATTAACATTACAACGAAAAATATGTCCATAATCACCATAAACCTGGTTTTAGGTGGAAGTACCGATGGAGGCTAGGCTGGCGAACTTGGCGCTGGACGTGAAGGGTCGCAGCAAGTCTGCCGTCAGCCAGAACCTCACCAAGCTACTCATGCAGGGACTTCATTCCAAGGACAAAAGGTATGTACTAGGTTATAGGAATTTAAACTTTAAGAACTGGCTTCACAGTGAATAATTATCCTCTTATGTTAATTTACTGAGATAAAGTCTACTACCGTTAACAGCGTGTACGTTAAGTATTTGAGATCCATTCTTCGGCACAATAAGGCCGTTTCAACCGTCGTGATACCACGGTCTCACAGAATACCGGCGTGAAACAACCACAGCGTTGTGTTTCGCCGTGTGAGTGGGGTTACTAAAGGCTCAATTCTAGAATCCCCATAATGCCGGCAAATTGTGGTTTTTAATAATTTAAACGCAACTTTACAATATTTTCTGTTAGATTAATGTCAGTCAGGTATTACACAGCAGTTTTTACCCCAAAATCAACTCGAGAGACGATCTCCAGCTATTGTAATGGGACGGCGAGTAAGGGTAGCTCGCCGCCCGACCAGAACCAGACCCGAGCGTACGGCGTAGTGTTCCGCGCGCGCCTCAAAGAGCCAATGGACTACCACAGACGACCTATACGGCCTTATTACAAAACAAGGTTTTACTTTAGTCTAAGACTAAACCATTGAGCCAGTTTTCGTATTTCGAATTGTAGGTAGATGACAATAAGATTCAAAATTCAACACCCGACTCAATGGTTTAAACCTGGACTAAAGATAAACCTTGTTTTGTAATAAGGGGGATAGAGTTAATGTTCAACCGGGGTGAAGGGGCAAGCGTAATGAGGCACCGCGGCCTCAGCGAGCAGGAGAAAGAACGGGGGCGTTTTTAGTCAGTAACCCCCTTATTACAAAACAAGGTTTATCTTTAGTCCAGGTTTAAACCATTAAGTTGGGTTTTGAATTTTGAATCTTATCTACTAATCTACCTTCAATTCAAAATACGAAAACTGACTCAATGGTTTAGTCCTAGACTAAAGTAAAACCTTGTTTTGTAATAAGGCCGTAAGAGTCTGATACTCCCTCCCGCCCGACCCTGGGCGGGAGAAGTCATTTGATTTTTATCTCACGAAAAATAAGACCAAAATTAACTAAGTCAGTCCGGAGTTTAAGCGAGACTATTGAACAATTATTTATTTATGAATTTTACTATTGTTCCAGTATAATCCTGACAGTGCTACAGAAGGACGACCCAATGGTGGCGCTGCGCACAGTGAGCAATCTGCCCGCGGACTACGTGCCTCAACTGTTGGAACAACTCGCCGACATGGCCACCAGGAAGACTAGTCAGTTAGTATACACAAAGAAAAACATATATTTAATTACTCAAACCCCAAGCGAACGCCGTTTCCGCACCTACAAGAAACTAAAATTTTTGAAACAAAATATCTTTTCAGTCACATACATATTATGATTTAATATTTTTTACGATTGATTAAATATAAGCGACCTCCCCCCCACCCCTTTTCTTTCCCTAGCTGAAGGGTATGCACTTAATAATATCCACTCATCCATTAAAATTGTTGCGTTTATAATACATTCGTATTAGTTATTCAATATTTCGATGAAAATATTAAAGTGTGGGAGAGCCATGACGAGCACGAATGGGTCGGCTCGACCGGAGTGATACCACGGCCTCACAGAAAACCGGCGTGAAACAACCACAGCGTTGTGTTTCGCCGTGTGAGTGAGGTTACCGGAGGCCCAATCCTTCCCCTCCCCCAATCCCTAAATCTCCAAATCCCTAAAAGGTCGGCAACGCACTCGTAACTCCTCCGTTGCGGGTGTCCATGGGCTGCGCTGATTGCTTACCATCAGGTAATCCGTCTGCACGTCTGCCGAACTATCACATAAAAAAAATACAACCTTTAAAAAATGGACATACCAAGTAAATTGTTATCATATTAAGAATAGATTGATAAAGTAAGTTTTTTACAGATGCGCGTCCGTATGTACGTGGCTGTCGGCAGTGGTGAGATGTCACTCAGCCCTGCTGCTCGCTACGATGGGATCCAGGTCCTCAGACCACCTCACACAACTATTAGCCATTTTCACCAACCGGTAAGATAACATATTTTTATAATATAAATACATACATATTTATAATCGTCAGTGATCGGAGTAGGTATATTGAAATGGGGTAATTGATCCGAAACGTATATATTAATATGGACATTCCGCCGGAATTAGTGGATTATTAAAAACTAGCTACTTTCGCGCGGTTTCACCCGCTGCTCGGCTTTTAGAGATCGTAGCGTGATGTCTTATAGCCTATAAACAATGAAACAATGAAACAATGAATTTATTTTTGCAAATAGGCCTTAAAACGGCACTTTTACACGTCAAATTATATGTGAAAAACTAGATGAAGCCGGCATTTCCTATCTGACTACTCTGAGAAGAAATGCCGAAACAAACTCAGAGGTCAGTCTCTTTTCAAGTCCAGACAATATAAAATAACATAATGTGAGAGAACCGTGCAAGTTCATTCTGTAGTGGTCTTTTGAGGAAAGAACCACACCAGTTTAAGTGGACCCGTTCTGAAGACAGGCACGCAAGTGTCAGTTTGCAACCATATAGCTAGTGCTGTTGAGTTGTCCGACGAACAATACCGATCAAAAGAACATTTGGGTGGGTCGCGCAAGTACTCAAACTGTCAGAACGCAGATGACTGGTGATAAAAAGCACGACAAGTCTCACACGGTCCTTACACTAACAATAATATAAAATAATAAAAATGTCAACAAATAAATAAAAAAAAATGTCAAATAAAAAATAAAAATGTCACAATAGGTGATCATGTCATTGTATAAAAAAAAAAAATAAACGTAATGTCAAATTGTATATAAAAGTGTAACTTATGTTACAAACATGTCAACATGACCTGTGCAGACATTACAGCGGCTCATTCCCAAGCCTGACTATCCTCTAAGTAGTCTTTTATTTTATAAAATGCTTTACAGCAAAGTTTAGCCTTTATTACACTTTTAAATTTATTGAGGCTCAAATTTTGAATATCGCTAGGAATTTTATTGTAAAAGCGTATACATTGACACCTAAACGAACTACTTATTTTCTGAAGCCTGGAGGCAGGCACAACATATTTGTTTTTCCCCCTCGTGTTGATATTATGTATATCACTATATTTCTTAAATAAGCTTTTGTTTTTATGAGCGTGAATTACATTTTCATAAATATATTGAGAGGCAACTGTCATTATTTTAGATTCCTTAAATAATTCTCTGAGCGAATGCCTCGGACTAAGATTATAGATTGATCGAATAGCCCTTTTCTGCAGAACAAAAATAGACTGGATGTCAGCAGCATTCCCCCACAACAAAATACCGTATGACATGATGCTGTGGAAATAACCAAAATAAACTAACCGCGCTGTATCAATATCTGTTAAATTTCTAATTTTTTTAACGGCATATGCTGCAGAACTGAGCTTCTTCGACAAGCCATCTATATGTGGGCCCCACTGGAGCTTAGCGTCCAGGGTTATACCTAAAAAGACAGTTGTATCTACAGGACTCAACTCCTCGCCCTTGACAAGCACACTGGTTTTTATCTGTTTAACATTTGGTGTTGTGAATTTATTATACCACTCAGGAACATTGTAGCTATCTATCTGTGAAAAAAATTTGGAAATCCGACCAGCGGTTCCAAAATTACCCCCTACATAGTACATACAAACTTACAAATATTACCTCTTTATAATATTAGTATAGAAAAAACCGGAACTTGTGAATGTAGGAATTTTATTCTGCCAGAGTGGAAGGAGTGATTTGATGATTTCAAAAAAGGTAGGGATTGTAATTTTGACTCGAATTGAATTGTAATAATATGAGCAATATTATTCTTTAAATACCAGGATACCGGAAATACTGGAAGTACTTTCCGGGAAAATGGCTTACCCATGTTATCTTTCTGTGTGCATATTTATAATACAAGTACCAAAAATCAATCTACCTACTCCGATCAATGATAATCATATGCTTTCCAGCTTATTATTTAATATGATTTCCTAAAATAAATAAAAGACCAGTTATTAAACACCATGTCGCGGTTTTGTTTCTCGTAAAAAACAGATTGTTTGTGTAATCCGCAAACAGTTCTCGGGTCGAACCCACAACAGAATATTAAAATGCTTGTGTCTCATAAAATTAACGTTTATTGCTACGGGGGTTCACTGAATCGTCAGCATCAGCCTATAAGTGCCCACTGCTAAGCAAAGACCTCGCCTCAGACGGTGTAGATTTAGGCATTTATCACCAAGGCAGATTAGCGATTGCAAATTTATTAGAAATCATAAAGTCCAGATTTTCTCGCAATTTTTTCTTTCACCCTTTACCATAATATGGATATATCGAGAATTTTTACTGTTCTTAGAAAGTACAAATAAATAGGAACATTTTACATCGGTCCTAGCCATGTTAAAAAAGGTATGAACCTGTAAGCTACTATGATTAGTTGCTGAATGTACCCTCGTTTTCTGTCATGTGAAAAAATGTATGGCAATTGTAATTTTGTAATTCAACATTCAGACGGTCACACCTATGCCAGCTGCTGAACCTCAAGGGTCGGCTGGACCTCACGATATCACAGCGCAGCGCCTCCGATATCGCACAGGAAGAACAACAACCCGTCCTCAATTATAATGGTAAGTTACACAAACATACGCTTTATTATATATTTCAATATTTTTCTTATTAAATGTGGGATTAGAACCATGCTTCAGCACGAATGGGTCGGTTGGATCGGCATCTCACGGCCTCACACAAAATTGGTGTGAAAAAACAACATTATTTCGCCGTGTGAATGGGGTCCAATCCTTACCTTTCGGGTGTTGCAGGTGTCCATGAGTGGCCCCGATAGCTTACCATCTATCAGCCTGCTCGTTTGTCGACCTATCACAAAAAATCATGTCGAATTAACAACTTGGAATAGAATAAAAACCTATACTCGGAATTTTAATTCCATTCCAGATTTGACAATTTCAGGGTTGCAACGTTATGCGTACGTAACACGTAATAAATAGTGACGTTGCGAAATAATTCGATGTGAAAATCGAATATTTCTGAATCGATTCCTCTCGTTTATAAATTTACTCTCGTAGTTTATCAGGAAATCAAAATTTTTTTAACCGATTATTTAGTTTTGACAATTAATCAACGATCTGAGACTTTTCTTTTGTAATTGTGTGTGAAATTAATACAAATGTGATCATGAAGGAACATGACAAATAAAACAGAAATTTTGTAAATTATCGCCGTCATCGCTCATGAATTGTGTCTGTAATTTTTATTGCCAATTAACATATCTAGCTTACTCATTTTTTCCTCTTCTTTGACAACATGGGATACGCATTTAGACCATTCGGTAGCCGTAGGTAATTTTTTGAATGCCTTCCTGAAACTGATTCACTGATTGTTTATCGATTTTTGTGTTCATCACTACACTGTTATGTGGTATCATTATTTCACAAAATGACAGTAGGTCATGTCAAATCAGGAATCGAATTAAAATTCTGACTATAGGACTCTATTGGAGAAACAGGCCTCACCTCAGACAACATTGTAACGCCATCTGTCGGCCCTCGTCTTATTAGAATCCTTACAACTTAATGTCCTGTATTCCAGATTCATCATCGGACGAGGAGATGGAAGCGGAGCCCTACCAGTCAGACAGTGACGCTTCCTGGGGTGACGACAAGTTCGAGAGCGATGCGTCGGCGCAGGATGAAGCGGACTCCGACAATGATTGACGTTGTAAAATAAATAGATTGTTTTCATATTTGATTGTGTTATATTATTGGTGTTTTATACCTGGTGTTTTTAGCGTAGAATCCCTGAAATTAATATTTTGAACTATGTTTTTGAATAGTAACTATCGTGAGACATTACATAAGTTACAATATGTAATGTCTCATACTGACGTCCACCGTAAGCGCGGGTCTGCGGATGCCGAACAAGAGTAGCTCGATGCCCGACCAGAATCAGACCAGGCGCGTAGCGTTCCGCGCGCGCCTTATAGACCACCACAGACGGGGCCCTATAGAGCTGATGTTCAGCCGCAATGTGGCACCGCAGCGTCGGCCTAGAGCGGAAGAGGAATGGGGGTTTTTTAGTCAGTAAGAGTCGGATATGAAATTCTGCTAAAACCATAACGTAATAGGTTGCTGAAACAAAATAAATAGAACTAGTTACGAAAGAGGTTATATAATTATGTATTATGACGAGAATTATGTTCTAACTACAATATTCATGTGGGGCGCCTAGTCTAGGAATAAAAATATGTCGAAACATGCTTGATCAGAAGCCGCTTTTGGCTGAAATTATCCGTTACTTGAGAAACGGATGCGGTAACGTTGCATTCGACCAAGTTGTTAATTTATAGACAAACCTGTTTAAGGGATTTTTATACAATAGGTGGCATAAGAGAGCAGACAGATCATCTTATGTTAAGCGATCAAACTGGCCATGCCAAAATCAGCTACAAGTTCTTTACTGGCTTTTTGGAGCCGACGCTAACTCGCCAGCAATGGCAAAGAATTTAATAAGTAGGTAATTTTTTTTGTCTCTGTTTTTCATTTACATAATTCAAATGTTTCTTTGTATCAATACCAAGCTTAAGCCTTTGACTGCCGACAGAAAACTGTTGAAGGCAAATCCTCCGCTAACGGAGGTCTCCATGGCGCTTAACGTGTTAAGCTTTTTATGCTTTTGAATTGGAGCGGACTTCACGTACCTACCCCCGATTCACAGACGATAGTTGTCATTGCAATTGTTATAGGACCTGAACACTATTCTCAAAGTCCTCAACATTTTCCCAACAGGTGGACCTATCAATGAATATGGACAAAACCAAAATCATGCCAAATGCCCATGTTGCACCCGTACCGGTCATCGTTAGGGACAATATCCTTGAAGTTACAGACACACGCTCCCATACGGAGTTACTCGATGTCTTCTATGGAAAATCCTAAAGACTAAGATGTTCAATCAGTGTGTGTTGCCGGTAAAATTGGGAAGTGGTCCCTGACTTCTTGTCTTCTAGACACTCAGAGTCGCTCAGCGCGCGATGGAGAGCTGTGCTGGAGCTTTCTTTGGACATTATCCGAATTACCGCCATAGCTCGTAAAATTTGTAGGCTGAGGTGGCAGTGGGCAAGCCACATCTCTAGGGCTGAAGGCTGATAACTCGAACTCGTGGCGAACACGAACGCAACGCAAGACCTAGGGTATGCAGGCTTTCCGTTAGGTGGACCGACAACAACAATTGCCTAGTTTTCGTTCGGCATAGAGGACTATGGCAGAAGCCTTCGTACAGCGGTAGACAAGCTGATGATATCGATTATACCAAGATGCCGAGGCTTATGTTTTTTATATGATAGGATGACAAACCAGCTAATTACCTGATGGTAAGCTATCAGCGCCGCCCATGGACATTCGTAATAACGGAGTTACGAGTACCACGTTACCGACCTTTTAGGGAATAGGGTTTTGAATATTTTGGGATAGGGGAGGGGAAGGATGGGCGATACACCACTCTACGGTTTATTAACACCGGTTTTCTGTGAGGCAGTGCGATCATGGCTCTCCCACACTTTTGATTTGGTTATGTCTAGAAAGTATGATTGCTAAGCTGTTTGAAATAACCTTGTGCATCCGTTATGCGGAGCACAATTTGCCGTGCGATGCCGGCAGTAAGCTAAGGGCGGGGGAAGTGTCAGACTCTTACTGACTAAAAACCCCCTGTTCCTTCTCCTGCTCTGAGCAGAGGTCGTGGTGCCTCATTGCGCTTACCCCGCAAGCCCCGCTGAATATCAGCCCTATAGGGCCCCATCTGTGGTGGTTTATTGGCTCTTTCGAGGGTGTCCGTTACCCAGGCCAGATGTTGTCGACAATGGTCATTTGAATCTTATAGATAATTAGTTGTGCGGCTTCTGTAATTGTTGCGCACATTTTTAAATTTGTTGCGCTTATAGTTTTTTAATTATTTTACAAAAACATTTCCTGCTGGCGTAACGTTACCACAGCCAGACCTTTTTCATTCTAATGGGAATATTTAAATAAATATTAGCTATAAAATTAGTTGTCTAGATAAAGTAAATGTTGTGCCTTATTTTGTATTTGTTCCTACCACCACCACCACCTAAACTTGGTCGGCTTACCACGGTCATTCACTTCGTAATGACTTTAATAGTATTATCTCATTAATTATCCAATGTATTGAGCTGAAATTTTACTGATATACAACTGATCTAAACAACTAATCATTGACATAACATTCAGTTCATATATCCAATCCAGTGGCCAAATAACACCGCGTGCATTAAGACCGTGCTCGTGAAGAACTGAATATCATCATAACTTGTTAAATACTTACGGGATACTAATGAAACTTCACATACATTTGAAGGCGGTTACAAGCTTTAAAATTACGTTTAAAGTAAGTCTTTAGACTTCTTATTGAGAGTGCTGGGGCCAATTGAAGTGTTTTCTATTTAATGAAATAACCTTTAAAATATGCATTATTTTGGTTTTGTTATTGCACAACAAATTTAAACTAAGTCCTCGGAAGTCGTGTACAAAATATGATAAGAATCCGCTTAACCATTTCAAAGATCTAGCAAAACCAAAAACGTTACCGCAGCAAAATCTCGAATAATTTCGCAACCGAAGAAAGAACAAATACAAAATAAGGCACAACATTTACTTTATCTAGACAACTAATTTTATAGCTAATATTTATTTAAATATTCCCATTAGAAAGAAAAAGGTCTGGCTGTGGTAACGTTACGCCAGCAGGAAATGTTTTTGTGAAATAATTAAAAAACTATAAGCGCAACAAATTTAAAAATGTGCGCAACAATTACAGAAGCCGCACAACTAATTATCTATAAGATTCAAATGACCATTGTCGACAACATCTGGCCTGGGTAACGGACACCTTTCGAGGTGCGCGGGACACTACGCGTCGTGTTCCGCGTAGTGTCGCCTGTTGCGGCGGCTGGGGCGTGAAGAGGATTGCTCCCTCACGCGGGCCGCCTCCCTCTTTGCGAGCATAACTGCTTCACAGAAGGAGACGGCGTCCCAGTTCCTCTCACTCCGCACCGGGCCTGAGGGCCGGAGGGCCGAGCGCGAGAGGTCGCCGCCGCCGATCACTTCCCAGGCAGGACATACCGCCACCGTATCCTCTAGTTGCCCTCGCAATGACGTAACTCGGGCGTTTCCTCCCGCTGGATCCGATACAGGATCCTACCGAAGCTGAGCTAAGTGTACACTACAGTAGCGCAATAGCGGCCGGGCAAGTGGTTTTTCAGGAAAAGCTTACTTTGTCTTACGCAAAAATATATTCACCCTGTTTTACGGCAGTAAATTATGTGGAGATCGATAACTTTACGAGTAGGTAGTACTATAGTCAGACTTTTAATTCGATTCCTGATTTGACATTGGCCACTGTCATTTTGTGAAATAATGATACCACATATAACAGTGTAGTGATGAACACAAAAATCGATAAGCAATCAGTGAATCAGTTTCAGGAAGGCATTCAAAAAATTACGGCTACCGAATGGTCTAAATGTGTATCCCATGTTTTCAAAGAGGAGGAAAAAATTAGTAAGCTAGATATGTTAATTGACAATAAATATCAAAGACACAATTCATAATAAATGTTACATAGAGTAACGGCGATAGCGATAGCGATGACGGCGACAATTTATAAAATGTCTGTTTTATTTGTCACGTTCCTTCATGATCGCATTTTTTATTAATTTCACACAAAATTACAAAAGAAAAGTCTCAGATCGTTAATTAATTGTCAAAACTAAATTATCGGTTCAGAAATATTTTATTTCCTGATAAACTTAGTTTACGAGAGTAAATTTATAAACGAGAGGAATCGATTCAGAAATATTCGATTTCCATATCGAATAATTTCGCAACGTCACTATTTATTACGTGTCATAACGTTGCAACACTGAAATTGTCAAATCTGGAATGGAATTAAAATTCCGAGTATAGTCACAAGATTTCAAAAAGTAACTTGAATTGCTTCAATTAGGTAAATTTAAAAATAAAACATCAAAATTATAGTCATTCGCACCATCATATATTTTCATACAACTTACTTTATAACATACACTCGTATGTCGACTTACAAACTAATACTCATTTCAACTTATCATACAAAAATAACTTTAAAATTGTGTTTATTTAGGAATGAGGTCCGTTGGCATTTAGCTTAGAAAACTGTTCTTAGACACTGTAATACATCGAATTACAAAATACTCAGGAGCGAAATATCACAGTTTCCATTTAGTTTAAAATCATTTAACATGACGAAAAGAAAACTGGATATTGTGTAAAAAACAAAATGGTTATTAGAAGACCTGATATTGATATATCTTATTTAATAATTGCGTCAACATTTAACTATAACAACGGACTAAAAACTAAGCTTTTTTCGGTGGCGCTCTGAAAATGCCCACGACAACGGCGTGATCTCTTTCATACGGCTCTAAAGTTAACTGTTCTTGTGGTTTTAATTTATCTGCTTGTAATTTCTTTACTTCTGACGCGAAAACTGCTTCGGGTTGCGCTGTGGAGTCTATGCAAGAGGCCTGGAAATAATATAGTTCGTTTATAATTGCGTTTTTTTTTGTTTGATGGGAGTTTATGAGCTATTAGCCTCAGTGAGAGAGTTCAATCTTATCAACATGAAAGATTTAGAATAGTTTTGTCATCATAGAAAGTATACATACATTCAAATTTAAAGAGTTTTTGAATTATTTCAGGCACTTTTTACATTAGTCATAACTCATAAAACTCAATCTCAGACCATTATGAAAAATAACAAAATTGCAATTATAAATTCTAAATTGTAAAATTACATCAAAATCTAATTGAGTTCTAGTTTTAAGAGAAATATTAAAAAAAGACTCACCTTAATAGAAATAACAAAGTGTCCACCGTTTTTGAGGAAGTGTTGGGCGTTTAGACTGACTATTCTAGCTTGGTCTGGCTGTGCTACATCGGCAAATATACAGTCAACCATGCCGACAAGCATTCTGGAATAAAGAAAGAGATAATATAGCAAATTGTTTAGAGTTAGTGAAGGATGGGAGCTGTTAGGTAGGATCAGAGAGAGAGTTCAAATTATTTCAACATGAAAAATTTAGTTCGTAGAAATCATCATAATAGTTTTTCTTACTAAGTGATTTTCAGGTACAAGCTTCAAGCCTGTGCAGGCTATTTGATTATAGTTATTATAAAATTGTATTCTTCATAAAACAATGATATTTACCTGTATTTCAGTGGATGTCTAGCATCTTCTATGATGGGGATTATATTTGTTCTCTTTTTAGCTACATTTATCAGGTCTCTGCCTGATCTGTGTGAGAATTCTACTGCATATACTAATCCTTCCTGTGAAACAATGAATAAGAGAAAAAATGTTAATAAAATGGTATAAAAGATTTCAATATTGAAGTGAAAATGAGAAATAAATATCAGAAGTGGGTATGTGGACATAGTCTTCATGAATAGGTCTAGATTAGAGGGACCACAATCATCATTTAGATTTTGGTTAATTTTAAGAAAATTAAGACTTAATGAATTATAATTCGACTGTAAAAACAAACAAAAAATACTACAATACCTATCAAAAATCGAGTTAATCATTTACCTAAAAAAAACCCCTATAACATGAATAAAAAGCCAAAACTTACCGGTCCAACGACATCGGAGACGTGACTGACAGTGGTACCGCTGGCTGCACCCAAATATAAAACCCTGGAGCCAGGAGGCATGTGTATAGCGTCAACACCACCCATAATAGCTGCGGCTAACTTTGATCTGAATGGATTCCATACTCTGTATTCCACCTTTTCTCCATCATTCTGTCAAGAAGGTAGCTTTTGGTTAGTAAGGGTAGGATATTGAAGAGTTTTTGGGTTTACAAGGGAGCAAATCAGAAGTGGGTATGTGGACATAGTCTTCATGAATAGGTCTAGATTAGAGGGACCACAATCATCATTTTAATGCCTAGTATTCTATGAAAAAAAAAAAGAAGATCCCGACAAATTGAGAACCTCCTCCTTTTTTTAAGTCGGTAATAAATACTTTTACAAGCTAGTTAAGATAGTAACTAAAACTTTTATTGTGTTAAATTTGGTTTTCCTATTATTTATCAAGTTTGAAATTAAACACATGTAATCTAGATAAATACTTCAGTTACAATGTTTTTTTTTTTAAATATCTTCACTATTTGTAGTCTATGTTAATGCTAGTTCAACTCAATATTTAGAAAATACAACAACTAAAATACAGAATTAGGTACAAACCTCAACTGATATTCTTTTTTCTCCATAAACTTCTGATCCGGGCACCAAATTCTTTGTAACTAGAGCATCCTCCTTCCCTCTTGCAATGAATACTCCGGGATGTCTAAGACAAAATAGCTAAATTTAGTGTTGAAAGGTAAGAACTATGAAGCTGTTATTTAAAATGATGATCAGTAGAATATGTTGGCTTCAAGCATTCGCTTTCAGAAGAACGAAAGTTTATAATAACATCATTTCAATTCAGTGTAAATAAGAACTTCCTGTTATTTTGTGTGAAGTTTTTATCAAAGACCTAGTTGGGATAAGAAATACCATTTGATCTATATTTTTGTGTATGAATATAATAGTTATTTAAAAAAATTAGAAGTTAAACAATATACTACATACCTATGTGGTTCAATAATAACTTGTTTGCCTCCTTTGAAGCCACCACCTCCCCTTCCACGGCCACCTCCAGGTCCTCCTCGACCACGGCCTGGAGAAGACACAGTCATTAGGACAAGGTAATAACAAAAGTATTATTATATGCTGTCTGTATAGCATCAGAAGTGGGTATGTGGACATAGTCTTCATGAATAGGTCAAGATTAGAGGGACCACAATCATCATTTAGATTAAAAAAAAAATGCATTTAATCATACACAATATTAACTATCTGTACTTCTTACCTCCGCCACGGCCACCGCCGCCTCGTCCTCCAAATCCTCCCCTACCGCCGCCTCCCCCACGGCCACCAAATCCGCCGCGGCCGCCACCTCCACCGCGACCTCCTCCGAATCCTCCTCGACCGCCTCCACCGCGGCCACCTCCGCGACCACCGCCGCCGCCACGACCTCCATTAAATTCTGGAAATAATATAAAAGTTAATATTTGTGTAGTTGGTTAATCTTCACTTGTATGTGTTGTTAAGTGCTGAACTCCGGAATAGCTGAACAGATTTAGATTTCAGTTTCTTTATGTTGCGAGTTATTTTTAATATTCTTATACTTTTGTAATAATGTTGAAAATCAAAAAAATACTAGCTGGTGTGTCAAGAAATTTTGAAATTAAGAAACAAAGATGATTTTGAAAGTACTACATTTATTGTTCTTATAATAATTGTTGATGACTACCACATTATGTGTTACATAAAAAAATTGTGATTATTCTCAGCATATTTGTTATTGCACAATACTTGAAAACTTCATTTTAAAAACCCTCAAATTTAATTTAGGTATTTTGACCCGATAATATTACACGGGTAGTCTAACCTTGACTATTATATCTGATGAATGGTATTTTTTGAAAGGTTGTTTCGAGTTGGTGAAGATGCCATCTAATTAAATTGAAAACCCTGTGTGAGCTGTGAGAACATTAGAAACTATCCTAAAAGTTTTTAAGAATGCATTACTCTTTTACAAAAAAGAAACTGAACAGATCTAAGTGAAATTAGGCACAGTGGTAGATTATTGTCTGCAAAACCATATAGGCTACCCTTGATATTGTACGACGGGCAGAGCCAATGACAGAAACAAGTATATTATAAAACAGAAATAGTATTGTAGCCTAAGGATGTATTTCAATAATTGTGCAACTAATAAAAGTAGGCGCGGATTTAATTTCTGAGTACTACAACTTGACCGACGACCCACTGACCGACCCTGGCATTCGAAGATGCACCATCCATTTTTCTCAATAGTAGGTATGTAATAATGTAACTCTATTATGTATGGTATTAACGAAAGGAATATCAAAGAAAGGAAGCTCAAATATCTCATGTGGTTTCAATGCAGTTTGACACCTGTGCCGTAGTGATAAGTAAACAATACCTAACTAACCTCATTGTAAGGAGGTTAAGTTAGTACTAAGACTCTTTAGAGAAAACATTGAAAAAAATACCATGCCGTGTTTTTTTTTTTTTTTGTTAAGCAAAAGCAATATCACACTGTAACTTGAGCTAGATAAAGGTCTTCTTCAAACGCCACGTGGTGATAATATTATGGCATCCAACAAGTGCATAAACAAACACACAAAATATTTCTGAACTTGCATAATACCATAAATAACACTTATTTATCATATAAATATCCTGAACATACATAATAGTCTATACTTTAGCTTAATTTCAATGAAAAAGTTAGCATCGTTCGTCAACGCATGGCGCCGGCGTGGTGTCATGATAAGTTATAAGTTTACAGCCTTTAAATGAAAGAAGAAGCGGGTAAAAAAGCAAATGCATATTTAAAAGACGTTCAAGCCTTTGGGGAGTGTTCAAATTACATAGATGATACATAAATTAAAAAATTATGGCTACCGAATAACCAAACTAACCTCAAAGTGACCACGTGAAAACTTGGTTTAATGGATTTAAACAGTGACTTGATGTGAAAAGTTGCCAATAATATTGACAATTCTATGTTTTAAAGATATTACGGATAATATTATAAAAGTACCACACGCGGAGATAAAAAACATGTGCTGGGCACCGAAACCCACAAGTCCAACGTTATGTATATGAAAATCTTACCTGGCTTTCCCATTTCTCGAGTAATATACTCCAATAACTAATACCGTTTTATTAAAATAATAAACTTTAGCTATCTAAACACAAAAATGCACAATAATTTCTTCATAAGCCGCGCGGAGCCATCACACCGCGCAGCCGTCCACGGAAATGACGCCATTCGAAGTCCGAGTGATAGAATGGTGTTGCTGCTTTTTTGAAACGGAATTTTATTTTTTGCTGTGTTGCAAGTAAAAAATTATTTTAAATTACACACATTCTCCAAAATAATATACTATTTTTCAATAAAAATAAACTAAAATATATAATAAACCAGTGCTGTATAAGTTTTTGCAACAAGTACCGCTTGCGCCTCTTGCTACTAAATTAAATCAAAGTATAATTTATTTATTCATATTGCACAATAATCTAAATAACCTTATAAATTCTTCTGTATATTAGAACATGACTTTTCATTTGATGTTATTTGCTCCTGGATTCTTTTCAGCGAATCGTAATTGATTGTGAAATAAATATGAAATTACAGCCAAATGGTATCAAAGGAACCTTAATTCATAGAAAATTAGTAAACGAAACGTAGTTTTTATATACTACATATATACGAAACTCGCTTGTTTTATTTTTTTTCTTTTCAAAACCAATACCAACAATTGCTTATTCAACATGCATTTATTTTATCATGCTCCTTATTATTTGCTGATTAATTTCTTATTTGTGCGGGATCCATCCTTCAACCTTGGACTATAGTTATTTTCACAATTTAATACAATAGATCCAATGTAGGCCAAATACATAGGTAGTACATGTTTATAAATAACAATTTCAGAATGTTACGTACTTCAATTGATTGTTATTTTTATTCGATAAGATAAAACACTTATGGTCATTTCACGAAGAAGACACAATATAAATAAGGGGAATTCATCATTGTAAATTATTTACTCGCACCAATTGACACTTGACAGTCAACTAGCTAAATTTTTTGTAATACACCATAAATTAACGCTAATTTAAGTAAAATGGATTCTAGTAAATACAGTGAAATAAAACTCAGCGACTATAAATGGATAAATGAGCCAAAAAAATGGCGAATCAGTGATAAAGGCCTTGAAGTGACAACAGATGAGAAAACAGATTATTGGGAAGGCACTTGGTACAATTTCCATCATAATAATGGCCATGTTTACGGAGTACAAATCAAGGATGATTTTACTTTCACGGTATGTTTTTTTTTTATACTACCTATTGTTATTTGTTTCCCATAAACGTTTCTTAAAACATTGACAAGATCTTGTATCTATTCTAAAAATAAACAACACAGCTTAAAAAAGTTAACCAACACCAAAGATAGATGGGGTTACCAATAATCGGTCGACGACCTCTTGGCTCGAAATTCAAAACTTACATCTTTGCCAGATTCGCCGCACGATGACATTTTAATTTTAATTTTTTCTCATTAGGTAATACAAAACTTGTCCTGACAATAATTTGGCAACTATAATAACTCAACCAAAATTATTTACCTAATTATATGCAGCGCCGGCAAACCGTACGAAAATAAGTACTTAGCTAGATAGTGTTTTGAATCTGACGTGAGGCGCGTAGATACAAACAAAACATTTGGCGATAACATTCTATTTATAGATAAATGCCACGTTTTACGTTTTTGCGTTGCATTTATGGCGTGTATACTTTTGACGTGTTTATAACCAGCCTATTTGGACATCGCTGGTGGTAACAATGATTATAATGATATTATTATGACGTTTTAGGTTTGCGTTGAAGCGGAGTTCTCTCACCTGTACGACCAAGCAGGTCTCATGATATACTTCGACGACAAACATTGGCTGAAGGCAGGCATTGAGTACAATGATGGACAACCTATGATCAGCAGCGTCCTAACTAACGAGCTCTCAGATTGGGGCACAGGTAAAAAATAAAACGAGTAAAAAAAATTTCAAGATTCGGCCTCTTTTTTTACATTTATCTAATAGGTATGCAATTTTATGTGCAGGTGTGTTTATGGGCAACCCGCGCAAGTTCTACCTGCGGCTGTCGAGGAAAGGCGACGTGGTGTGTGTGAAGTACTCGGCAGACAAGGAGCTGTGGACGCTGCTGAGACTGTGCCCGCTGCCGGGCTGTACGCGCGGCCCCTGTGTGGTGGGACCCATGTGCTGCACGCCCACCAGGCAGGGGCTGCAAGTCACCTTCAGCGACATACGCATCACTGTGCCCGCCGATGATATCCTGCATTCTAACTAATGTATCTCTGAATATATTTTTTATCATGTTACGCATTTAATATTTTAAGAAATAAATATGTATTAGATACTGCACATTTTTATTACTTTTATTTATTGCGATTAAACGTGAAGGATTCGTTTACAATAAACAAAAAAAACATATACTCAAAAGCATGTCGCATATCACATAAACAATAAATTACAACCAGCAATCGTAACAGAATTAGAGAAAACCCTTTAAGAGTAGAATCAAATAATGAATTACTGTGCCTATGAATTATTTCAAACCTCCAAAGTATTTCCGAAAATGTTGATGGGCCGATAACAAAAATTAGCCAAAGTTATTCACTGAAAAGTAGAATTAATAACGGTAAAAAAAATAACTGTTTCCGAGCCAACACGCCCACAATGTACAGACCAGAGTTTACCATGACTGGCGTACAGCTCCAAAAATAAAGGCAGATTCAGTACTGTATGTACTAGATAAAAAAGGTAATAGATATCATTATCTCGAAATAGGATGAATAACAAACAACCATTTCCATAACTTAGCCAAGGCTTTGGACACGGTTTCTATTCCCTTCTTGTGGAATAGGTCAAGACTACAAGAGTCTATAGACATCAGATGGCGTGCGTTGGAGATATTTCCAGATATTTCCAGAGATCATTGGAGATATTTCCAGACTAGTCTGCTAAGTGGAAGTCAGGTCGATTCAGTTGATGGTTACAAAATAAAAAAACTACCTATAGAAGATGGTGTGCCCTAAGGCAACCTTGGACCAACTCTCTCATTAGTATATTTTATAGTTTAGTGTGACAACATCAACTGTTTCTATACTGACTCAATATCTTTTTAATACAAACTATCGTGATGTTACGATTGCCCAATGCACCCTTAAATGATTAATCTACAAAATCCCCTTATGATCAGCAGTTATCCCCCCTTCATGGCAAAAGGGCCTCATCAGCAGTTTTGCCATTGAGATATACCAGATCTCTCTAGCCTCAGTCCCCTTCTAGATCCCGTCGCGAGCACATCACTTAAGCGTGCTAGTTCTATATCCAATATACATAATTGTATTTTTAATTCTAGTTCAGTGTAATAATTAATTAAGTGTTTAATATAGGATATTAAGTAAAATTGTTTTTTTAAAACCTTCCGAGAGGTTTCCGTCCTAACATTGGTGGCAGCGAAAAGGATTCCAAAAATCTGGAAAATCCGGTAAACGCCTCAGTGAAGAGACATTCAGTGTGCAGTTTACGTGTGTAAAACTAAACTCACTATCTCCGTAAAAATATATTCTACATCCATATTTTACCTGCTTCTAAATCTTTTATAAAATTCATCACTTACCCGATACTTACTCGCGCGTATACCCTCTACAAAATCCCGCGAGTGCAAAGTGCAGTTCCAGTGTTCCTGAAAATCATTTAAATATTTCCACCGTTCCCGCAGTCAGGTGATCATGTCCCTGCTTCATCTCGTCATCATAGCCGTTATCCTGTAAGTGAAATCAATATCTAACTCGATTCCCAGTGCAGTGCAGTGCCCCAAAAGTATACATAAAATACAATCCAGTGAATAAGTTACAGTGAAACTTAGCGATAATACCTGTAGACTAAACATCCGAAACACTTCCAAGTAACAGCCTTATCAGTTACTCGACGACGCCCGCTAGCATCCTAGCAACATTGTAACCACTATACTTCATTGTTTTGTAATCTATTCTTAGCCTTTGTTCATACTTATTTTTATACACATTTCCGATTATAATAAGAAATGTCCAAACCTGACGCAAAGGCAGAGCTCGTTACTCTGTCAGAGAAAATGGAAACAAGTATTCTTTTTAAGTTCATTAAACCCTTTGATGGATCTAGAGATAAGCTTCAATCGTTTCTCAATAATTGTGAAAATGCGAACAAACTCGCTTCAATTACTCAAAAACCTATTTTGTTAAATTATATTCTAAGTCGACTCGAAGGTAAAGCTGAGTCAGCAGCGTCCATTAAGGACTTTGACAGCTGGGAACAGGTAAAATCTTTCTTACAATCCCAATTCGGGGAAACAAAACACTATGCACATTTATTGTCTGAATTACAGGAATTCCAACAGCAACCAGATGAATCTGTTAGCCAGTATTCACTTAAAATTGAGTCTTGCCTAGCCAAGCTAATTACCGAAATTACGATTTCCAATAAAAAGAGAACCGAATTATCCGGTAAAATATCAGCTATGGAGGAATTAGCCCTCCACTCATTCTTAATGGGACTTTCACCCAAAATTTGCAATCTAATTCGTATGAAAAATCCTTCTACCTTGAATGAAGCCATTAACTTTGCTATCTCAGAAGAGAAAATATTCGGCAGCGGCATTCTTTCACCACTTCTTTTCTCTATCTTTATTAATTTCATCACTTTGGAACTTCAGTGTGCGTACCATTTGTATGCTGATGACTTGCAGCTGTATTGTCAGGCTGCGGTGGATGATCTGCCCGTTGCTGTCTGCAAACTAAATAGAGACTTAGCGGCTATCCAAAACTGGTCAGACAGGTTCGGTATAGCCGTGAACCCTAATAAATGCCAGGCCTCAATAATAGGTAGTTCTCGGAATTTGAGATTGGTTGATGGTACAAACCTACATCCTCTCTTATATAATGACGTGACTATCCCATTCAGTCAAGAAGTAAAGGACCTTGGGCTGCTTATTGATAGCACATTGAGCTGGAGACCCCAAGTCACCAGTGTTTGCCGGAAGGTGACCGGCTCGTTGAGGGCTATGTATCGCCTGAGGAACTTTCTTCCGTCATCCGCGAAGACGCAGCTGGTGCAGGCCTTGATTTTCCCCATTATTGATTACGCTGATGTCTGTTACTATGACCTGAATGCAGATCTGCTCAATAAACTTGACCGACTTCTAAATAACTGCATTCGATTCATTTTCAATCTACGCAAATATGATCATGTTTCTGCACGTAGGATGCAACTTAAGTGGCTGCCAATACGTTTGCGCAGACAACAGAGGGCACTTACAACTTTATTCTCTTACCTTGATTCTCCTTCTTCGCCTAGCTACCTCGCCCCTTACTTTCAATATACTTGCGCAAACCATTCAAAATTTCTTCGGTCTTCCCACAATCGACACCTTCATTGTCTCACCCATCGCACTGACTTCTTCCATTCTTCTTTCTTCATTCAAGCTGTTCTTCTATGGAATGCGCTTCCGAAGGAAATCAGAATGGCCACAAATCGCTACTCGTTCAAGTTAAAAGTCCACGAGCATTTATTTAAGGATTGGCAGACACAAAACAGATGTGGTAACTAGTCTCGACATGGTTTTTCCCATCTAGATAATATTATGTATGTATGTATATATGTATATATGTATATCTGTATATTATAGTATGTATGTTTCAATATATCCATACTTAACATGTATTATTTATTGTATTCGTTAACTTATTTTATGCATATCTATTTATTTATGTGTAAAGAATCGTGTTTGTTTCTTCCTTTTTCTTTCCCCTTTCATCCTGTTCTAGGACTCTGTGTCCTTGCTTCGCACCAACCGCAAGAATTCTCTGCACTGCCCTATGGTTGACTGTTAGAGAATGCCTTAAGGCATTAAGTCCGCCATTCACACTGTTTGTATGAAGAAGAAATAAATAAATAAAAATAAAATAAAAATACAAGCCCAATTAATAAAGAAAAGGAATTCGAATCGTCCTTTTCAAAAACCAAATATTATTCAAAACCAATCTAGATCCAACGCAATTCATAATTTGGACAAACCCCAATCTTCTCCACCTGTATGCCGATACTGCAAGTTCGAAGGTCATACCCTCGAAAATTGTAGGAAGCGTCAGTTTAATAACAACAGATTCAAATTCAACCAAAACAACAATTTCCAACGCCCACAAACCAATAACAATCGCGCTTTTCCGCGACAAACAAACACACAAAACCGCGTTAGCCATGTCGACTACGACAACCAACCTCAAGATTTTATAACTGACGAAAGTCATTTAAACGAGTAGTGGGCTCACGACGGTGTCACGTGAGGCCCAGACCTCAAATTCCATATCCGTCTTCGCGCATAAAAGACACCAATTCTAAATCCTCTGTATCCGCTGCACCAAGAGTGTCAGCCAATTCTAAATCCTCTGTATCCGCTGCACCAAGAGTGTCAGCCAATTCTAAATCCTCTGTATCCGCTGCACCAAGAGTGTCAGCCAATTCTAAATCCTCTGTATCCGCTGCACCAAGAGTGTCAGCCAATTCTAAATCCTCTGTATCCGCTGCACCAAGAGTGTCAGCCAATTCTAAATCCTCTGTATCCGCTGCACCAAGAGTGTCAGCCAATTCTAAATCCTCTGTATCCGCTGCACCAAGAGTGTCAGCCAATTCTAAATCCTCTGTATCCGCTGCACCAAGAGTGTCAGCCAATTCTAAATCCTCTGTATCCGCTGCACCAAGAGTGTCAGCCAATTCTAAATCCTCTGTATCCGCTGCACCAAGAGTGTCAGCCTATTCTAAGTCCTCTGTATCCGCTGTACCTAGTGTATCAGCTAATTCTAAATTCTCTGTATCCGCTGTACCTAAAGAGTCAGCTTGTTCTAAATCCTCCGCATCCACCGCGCCTAAGAAGCCAATCTATTCTAAACCCTCCGAATCTCCTGTACCTGAAAAATCTAAATTTTCCAAATCCATTGAGCCCGCTCTAATTTCAACAAGTTGTTCAACCCCTAGATCCAAAGAAAACATTATTTACGAAATTACTTCAAATTCCACGAAGAGATATGTACCACATGTTTCCCTTAGAACTCCGTTGAATAACCAATGGCGAGATGGCGCCACGGCCAGAGTAAATATCAGCTCCGTATTAAAATTTCATTAAAAATAGTAAAATTGCGTTTTAGAAATAAATACCAACGTAACAGTGTACAAAATACTGTAAATCACAAAGTGTTGATATAAATTTAAACATAAACTCCGTATATAGTGAATAAGTGTGTGTAATACAGTGTGACAAACCAAGTAAAAAGACACTAGAATAACAGTGTTAAAACACTATTTGACATTATTAAAATACGCGCGCGCGCGCAACAATCAGCACAGCAGTGTTAAACTGTGTCAAAACAATCAATGAAGTGGAAAAAAAAACGCAAAAACTGGTTTAAGTAGACAATCCTTTGTTCCGAAGAAACTAATTTGACCTTTGGACTTATAGCTGCCTACTACTTAAAACACAACTCAACGCAACGCATACGCTTGCCTATTTTGTACACATAATTAATCGATTTGGTAGCCTAGAGGTGATTACAGAGATTGCTGTTTAAAGGCGGTCTAGTTCGATTCTGACCTTTCACACTTTTTGTAGCATATTTTAAATTTATTTCAAAGAAAACTTACTTAATGATAAATATTTATATCTATTAACCAAAACCACAGACAAAATGAATTTCTTTGAAAATATTACCCTCCGAAAAAAAAGGAACAGCTCAATGACAGAAACGGTCACAGTGATTGAGTCCAATAACTCGACGCTAGATGGCAGCACGAACAGTATGCCGAACATATCCGATGATGACGACGAAGTAAAAAGCCTACGACAAGAAATATCAACATTACGTTCAGAGTTAAACTCTGCACATCAGGAAATTAATAATCTTTCGTTAGAGAATACTGAGTTAAGAAATACTATTAAGAATCTGTCCAATAAACATGAAGTTCTGACTAAAGCGACTAAACAGCTTTCAAGCGACTTGTGTTCTCGAACTCCTATTAACTCAAAATCAACAACGCCGCATCGTCCTACCCACAAAAAGAATAAAAGCAAATCGGCACAATCAGCAAGTACCCTTTCAGCGCACCAAAACACCGACACAGTACATGGCACGGCATCGCTTTCGCACATAGTGCAGCAAACTACAAAACAAACCAATAAGATACCCAAAGTTGACAAACCAAAACTATGTATCATAAGTAGCAATAGAAGAAACAAAGTTTTAACGATAGCTGAAAACGCGTTCGCAGACTACCATCTATGCCACTATTTAAAACCAAATTGTGGAGTAAGAGAACTCATCAGCGGCATTGATACAAAACTTAAAGAACACACAGTAAACGACTACTGTGTTGTTTTAATTGGCGAAGAAGACTTCCGACGAACTTATAACTATGTTGACATAATAATTGATATTCGCGAAAAATTGACACAAATACAACACACTAATATAATTCTTTGTCTACCTACTTATAAAATAAATGACTATTCTATTATGTATAATGGCAGGATAGAAACTTTTTGTAATCTCCTATATCTGGACATGTGTACTTATAACTATGACTATGTAAAGGTGATTGACTCTAATTTGGATTTAACTTATGACTATAGAATGTTTTCAAAGACTAATGGCTCTCTTAATAATAATGGCATGACAAATATATTTAAAAACATAAAAATGTACATAAATCTGGAACATAATTTTTATAACAATGATAGTATAGTAGCATCTGAAACTAAATTTGTGTCTCAGAAGCTTTTTCGTACATAAATTCATTACCATTTTCCATCAAAATATTGCAGGCTTGAGGAGTAAGTCAGATGCACTAACAATCTGCCTACAAGAAATTTCGGATAACAAAACTGATGTAGACGTTATCTGTCTGACTGAACATTTTATGATGTCAGGCCACGAGGATATATGCATGATACCTAATTACTCGTTGGCTGCCTTCTATAGCAGAAGTAATTCTAGCAGAGGAGGATCGTGTATTTTTGTAAGAAAGGGTTACCGTTGGAAACTTGTTCCGAAGCTGGAGTTGCTCGCAGAGTGCTTAACTTTTGAATGTTCTGCGATAGAAATGTTGGACCATAAAATTATTATTATATGTCTGTATAGAGTTCCTTCTGCTAGTAACCTAAATAATTTCCTTAATAGATTAGAAAAATTACTTCAATATGTTAACAAAACTTATAATAAGTATAATGTAGTATTAGCTGGAGATTTTAACATAAATGTTCTTAAAGAAACAAATATCACATCCGAATTTAAATGTTTACTTTTGTCTTATAATCTAAAACTTGCAATAGCTGAGCCTACCAGAATAATTAGCAATACATGTATTGATAATTTTGCTCACAACTACCGCAACAAATGTAAAGCGGAAGTGATTGACTTCGGTCTGTCGGATCACACAGCTCAGATATTAAAGTGCCAAGTCCAAAAAGTGTGCCTGATTAAGAGCTGGAAAATTAAGCGTAGAGATTATAGTGAGGAAAATCTTAAGAAGTTTGATGCTTGTATGGATAAACTGTCTTTCTCAGAGATGTATTCAGCTGTTGATCCAAATGTGGCCTACAATAACTTCATTGACTTATTTACACTATTCTATGATCTTTGCTTTCCGTCTAGACATATCACGATACACACGCACCGTAAAGCCAACTGGATAACACGAGGCATAAAAGTCTGTAGTGTCAAAAAGCGCGTTCTCTTGTGGCAATACAGAAAATTGCCTACCCACGCGAATAAAACAAAGTTAAAAGAATTTTCAAAAAGGTATAAAAGAATAATAAAATTAACACAACGCGCTCAAAACAACTATTTAATTAATAATTCAGATAATAAGAGCAAATCGGCTTGGAACATTATTAATAGAACAAAATTAAACTTACCACAAAATACAATAAGTACTATTAAGTTAAATGACAAAACGATAACTGACCTTTATGACATATCAAATACCTTCAATAATTATTTTATCGATAAAATAGTACCTCAAAATGAATCACTAAAAATGCAGTATAAATCATACATGACCACTAGACAAAATTCAATGTTTCTAAAACCATGTCTACCAAAAGACGTCTTACAAATTATTAGAAACTTAAAAACAACAAATAGTGTAGGTAACGATGGTATTTGTACTAAAGTTCTGAAATATGTAGCTACGAATATTTCTCCACATTTCAGCTATCTCATAAACCTATGTATTGAAGCAGGGATATACCCTGAAAAATTAAAAACTTCTATTATTAAACCTATTTTCAAGAAAGATAATAGAGAATCTTTAGAAAACTATAGACCCATTGCATTAATTTCAGTTATATCGAAGGTATTTGAGAAATACATATGTAAAGAACTCAACAATTATTTGGAATGTAAAAATATTTTGGCAAGTGAACAGAAAGGATTTAGACAAAATAAAACTATTAACATGGCAATATATGACTTTCTAAAAATAGTTATGGCTGATGTCGACAAAAGAATACCTGTATGCTCAATCTTTATGGATATGACGCAGGCTTTTGACTACGTTGACCATGATATATTACTCGGTAAACTTTATCATTACGGAATAAGAGGTAATATTCTGAACCTAATCGAATCGTATCTTAGGGATCGCAATCAATACACTGAATTGACTACAATTAATGTTTTGACAAAAAAAGAAGAAACTTTTCGATCATGCAGACGAAAACTGAAATACGGTGTCCCCCAAGGTAGCGTTCTAGGGCCAACTCTATTCATACTATATATTAATGACTTGCCTAATGCCACTGACAATCCTATAGCTCTGTTTGCGGATGATAGTACAGTTACTGTAAAATGCACAAATAAAAACAACTACGAAAATGACATAAATAATACCTTGAGCTCCATCATGCACTGGCTTAATGTGAATAATCTAAAAGCAAACTTAACTAAAACACAACTAATGCACTTCAAACAACGTTTACCTTCACCCAACAATTTGAATGTAAATTATAACGCACAAGCCATTATAGAAACAAATAGTACAAAATTTCTCGGATTGCACATTGATGATAAAATGTCTTGGAAAAAGCATACTGAACAACTATGCAAACGTATGAGTAAATCAGCTTATGTCCTACATGAACTCGCACATAAAATTAATTGCAACTCACTAATAATCGCCTATCATGGGCTAGTAGCATCTGTTCTTAGGTATGGCATAATATTCTGGGGGAATTCAACCAATAAAATTCTTATCTTCAGGGCACAGAAAAGGTGCGTTCGGGCTATGTTTGGTTTAAAAACAACTGACAGCTGTGTACCTTTCTTCAAAAGACACAATCTTATGACCTTACCTTCACTATACATTTATGAAATCGCAGTCTTTGTAAAACAAAATCCTCAACGCTTTGTTTTATTATCTGAAGCTTATAATCGGCCACAAAGGGATGAGAATCGCCTATGTATACCCAGAACGAATACTGCATTAATGCATAAAAGTGTCTTTCACATGGCTCCAGCTGTCTATAATAAATTGCCAAAAGAGCTAAAACAAGCTAATATTCATATTTTTAAAAAATCTTTAAAACATTTACTGTGTCAAAAATGTTATTACAGTGTCTCAGATTTTTTAATGGATAAATTTTAATTTAGTTTATTTGTTGACTTATTTTAACGTATTGACTACAAATATCCATTAATTGCCTACTCATGGACATCAATTTATTATGACTTATATTATGTGGTTTTTTTCATCTGACTTTTTGACGAACAATGTTGACATGTAATTCATTAATTCATATTCGCATTCCTAACTGGTTACTTGATTAATAATAATAAAAAAAAACTCAAACGATTAATAAACAATTATTTGTATGCCTAAAATAGGCTGATCATAGCGCACTCTAATTTAAAAATAATCAACCAAATGTACCTATGTATCACAAATAAAGATTTCATTT